TATAAATTCCTCATGACATACAGGATTTGTAAGCATTTTATCACTCTTTGAGTTCTCTTTTACTTCTTTGACGCAATCATTTGCAGTACAATTTCTTCTTTATTTCAGTTTCGATTTCCAATTTATACATTTTTGTAGTGGCAGCTGCTTATACTTGTCATGCCATGTCAAAGAAATCATTGCTCGAGCCATTGTCATGAAGACTTGTACAGGTCTTCTTTCAAGGCTTTCAAATAATTTGACCTCTTCCATTGACGTCTTTTATCTACTTGGGAGGAATGTGTATGGTTTGATAGTCTGTTACGATAAATCTTTCCGCCACTCACTTGAGTTCTGCTCACTGCGTTAGGGCCCCAAATAATACACAGAGACTTCTATTAGGTACAAATGCTGCTTGGCCAATGACTAGGATTTCTCATCTGTTAGCTCAGTCTTAATTATCATAAATCTATATATTTTATAAGACTTATCTTATTTAGGATGCCTTCCATTGGCGTCCTCATCCTGGGATCACATGGTGACTCTGGAAGAAGAGAGAAGGGCCCACTTCCTTCTTGCCCTTGTTTATATATGACTCTCCCAACCATGTCACTTCCTGTGGATCACCACTTCTTTACTACATTTCCCAGAATCCTCCTTAACTCATAGTCCCACCTAACTTGCTGCCTCATTGGCCAAACAGTACTTTATCATCCAATAAGACAAACACATACACAGAAGCACTTCCCCCATCAATGGTCTTATCTTTTTTATAGATTCTAACTAAAGAATAGATGGAATGAGTGAATATCTGAAGAAACTGGAGGAAAATTTGGCATCAACTCCATTGGGAAAAAAATTTGTAATTAGTAACTAAAAAGTAAACACATAGAAATTAAAACAAAAAACCCACTGAATTCCAAATGAAAATGTCACTAATAGAGGAATAAAGTTGAAACCACTTTAGGATATGCAGGGGCAAGGTATGCAGAGTGTGTGTGCAAGTGCTCATATGTGGTGTGCATGTATGTATACAGAGGAGGACTTAAGGTGTCTTGGTCTGTCACTTCCTCTTTCTCCCCTTGAGACAATGTCTCTGAGCCTGGAGCTTGAGTGGCAACCAACAATCCCAAGAGTGCCTCTTGTCTACTCATCCAAGCCCCAGAACTATGACAGGTGGCTACATTAGGTTTTTACCTGCCCTTTACCTGCTGTGCTGGAGATCTAAACTCATGTCTTCAAGCATACTCAGAAAGCTCTCTTACTAACTTGGCCATCTTCCCAGTGCCCACTTAGGTTATTTTGAAAAGTCTTTGTAGATAAACCTCAGTGTTTTATCATTATATCTGCATTATTTTCTAAGAGAATTGACTTGTCATGGGACCTTGGCTTTGAGTATTCTTTGAAACTATAACTGAAAGGCAGCAGCCACTAGTCATCTCTTGCTGTCCAGCATTTCCGATGTGGAAGACACATTCCAAGTGGCAATGAGTAATTTATAGATATAAAACAAACATCACAGTTTGAACGACTGCAACCTACAAGACAATGAACATCTCATTAATCCCTTCATGTTGATTAGATGTTGCAGTATACTAATTTGACTATTTTGTATTAAATAATGTGTATTATTAAAATGACTGCACCAGTTCCTTTGTGCTATTCTCAAAATGTGAATTATCTATGATGCTTGTAGTATATGCACTTGGGGCAACCCTGTTCTAAATTGAAAAAGAATGTTCTGGAACACTCACATTCTGATTCCTTTGCTACTTTTGAATATCCATGCAACTTTGAGATATTTATTCCATATATTGGTCCCAGGTGAGAAATAAATTCATTCAGCAAACATGCAGAAAACTAACTACATAAAAAGAAATCAGATAGATTAAGTAGAAAATACAAGATAAACCTGTCCTCAAGTTTTAACGTTTGATTCTTTAACCCATTTCACTTTTCCTCATTCATAAGTGCAGTCACATATTAACAATGGAAATTTTCACTATTTCAATTTTCCCATGAATATGTTGATCTTAAAATACTGATCATTATGTAATATGAGTAAGGACTGAAAACCCGTATGCACAGAGTGTGTAGTCTTTGTTTCTGAATTTAAACAGTGAACACAGTCTATGCTTTCCTCGAGCCCCTCTCCCCATTCAGGAATGAAGTTCCCAGGGGCAGAACTTTGGTAGACCAAATGTGCAACTCTTTCATTCATTCATGCCACATTGACTCTGATCTTGACCATATGACTTGCTTTGGGCAGCAGGATATTAGCAAGCAAGATACAAGCAGAGTGTTAATCTTTGCTCACAAGGCTTATCTTATTTTTAATTAATGTGTTGGTGGAGTACAAGATGAATGTCATTACATTTCCATTCATGTATTCTTTTATTCATTTGTCATTGAGGTTTGTCTTTTTGGAAGACTCCTTCTTGCAACTCTGAAGTTACATTGTGAGGACGTCTGAATGGCCACCAGGAAAAGGCCGCATAGAGGAGGAATGGACGAGGGGCTCACTCAGACAACTTGTTCTCAACCTGGAGTCATTTTGCCCTGCCAGGAGATATTTAATTGTGTCTGGAGACACTTTGGTTGTCACAACAGGTGGAGAGGGGCTACTGGTTTCTCATGGGTTGAGACTGGGGGTGGGGAATGCTCCTGATCCTATACATACAGGAGAGCACCATAACAAAGAATCAGCCAGTCTTTCGGTTGTGCTGAAGCTGAGAGACAGTTGTAGATCAAGGTTTTCCCACAACCTGCCTCCTGTGGATCAAAGACAAAGGTGCTTGGGAGAGAAAGTGTTCACACAAAATCTAGTGTTCTCTTAAGCCTGTACATTTCTCAGTGATAGCTTTGGGCACAGCCTGCTTCTTGGGATAATTTTTGACTCTTAATAGTATCCTCATCAATTGGAAGCACAGTTTGCCCTTGTACACCCAATACTCAAGCATAGTCCCTCAACAAGCATTTTCCTTGTCATACCAATACAGATAATTCATCTCACGCTACTATCAAGGTCACAATTTAATCTGAACTTCTAGAATCTCATCTATGAATTAACATTTTTTTGTGCTCCACCAGTTTGGTTATCAAAGAATCCTAGGACCCCCACACTGATCAGAAACTACTTTTCCCCCTGATAAGAGCATGCATATATTTAGAGAAATGTCATGATTAATAAATTCTATCCATGAGACAAATATTTAAGGACAGAAAAATTACAGTAACTTTGCTGGTAGTAAATTTTATTAGGTGAGTTTAGGTATAATTATGTTAACAGATTCATTCAATAAAATTTTTAGACATATGGTTGGGTATGAGTATAAATTTCATCTCTATGGTAATTTATTATGCAAATTTAATTATGGATAAAGTCATATGCCACTCACCATGTGGAATGTTTTGTGAAATACATCATGAGGTGAATTCATGCTCCGGTAAGCATTGTAAGCATTATAGAGTATACATAAATGAACCAAGACAGCTGTAACATCATTAAATAATATAATCTTAATGATATGGTCTGTCATCTGAATCTTTATGCAGCACGTGACTAGGTGTAGCTTAAAACCCACAGTAGGTAGATTGTTGCTGCTTCAGTTGTTTTTGAGACAATGTCTCACTAGGTACCACAGGCTGGCCTGGGATTTTTGATCGGCATCTTAAACTCCCAATTGATGAGCTTACTTACATCATCACCTTGGCTTAAAAAGTGCAATAGGAGATACACACCTTTGTAAACAGAATGAAAAGGGGCAGGTAAGCAGGTCATTGGAGTTTCAAAAGAAACACTTTTATAAATCCAGTTTGCTTGGGTTTTGACAAACAGAGCAGACTGGCCTTGAACTCACAGAGATCCACCTGTATCTGCCTCCAGAATGCTGAGATTAAAGGTCTGCATCACTATGGTTTACATCCAATTTGCAAAGTACTAGAAAGGATCCAGATTTTAAATATCCAAGGATATGAACAATCTCCCTAATCACAGTAACACAGGAAGTACCTTTAGAGTGGGCTACAATTCAGCTGCAAATGGCCTTGGCTGTGGATGACAAGTCAATTCTCTGTAGACATTAATAGAGCCCAAGAGACAGAGTGTTGTGAAGGGAGCCAGAGCACCAGCCTATCTACATAAAATGAGGACTCCAAGCCCATTGGGTGGAGTCAATGGGCCACCTGAAAACAGGTTTTCCCCCCTTGCACTTGAGCTTAGGGCTCAAATGGTGGCTCACATTAATGGTTCCTTCAAGGAGCAACACACTTAACTATTAGGAACCAGACGCTAAAATTTTCAGGCTTCGTGGACCAAGAGGCAAAACAGAAGATTTTGCGTAGGCATTTATATAATATGGAAGAAAACGAATTTTCAGCTATTAATGGAAAATCGAAAACAAAGTAGTATTTGAGATAATTTTTCAAAATACACGTCTAAATTAATGAGAAAGGGAATTCTCGTTGGTGGGAAACTCTTTTGCCTAGTCCAGCTTCAAAGGTAGTGTACACCGTCACACAAAGTGAAACACGCTTCACTCTCAGGTGCAAATTCAGGCCGCTGTGTGGGTCTCTCCCACATGGACGCTGGGTGCACTTGAACCCTAAGTATAACCTCTGGGTTCTGAGCTTCCGGGTTGAAAGGCGAGACACCCCTATGGCCCCTTGCCGCAATCGCTCGTTCTCTGTGCCCACTCCATCTGATTCGTTGATGTCCCCACTTGAAAGCAAGTCAGAGAGGTAAAGTGAAGTACATCGCGTTCCCCTCCAAAACAATCGCACCTGGGTAATTCTGGGCCACCCAGAACTTCACAACCTGCTGCCC